GAAGCTTGACGTTTTTAAGAAAAAATTATCAAAGAAAATGCCAGACAGGATGCATATTTCTCTTTTATTTTTTAAAATGTCAACAGAAATAGAAGTGTGATATTGCTGTAAATCTGAGCAGGAGAAATACATAAATGAGCTTAGTTCGATAATGGGTTGATAATCCTTTAAAGTTAAACTCTCATTCAAACAAACAGTCACTTTTGTAAATTGCACAATAGTAGCACATATGAATTGATTTTTACAAGAACAAAACAACCAAAAAAATAACATCTCTTTAAATAAGAGCAAGACAGACAGCAATTAAATGCTCAGGAGAAAAGGCAACTAAGCTTATCTGTACAGTTTACTGTAAGACATACAGATGGAAAGAATACAACAGCTCACGGTTATGTATTTATAAAGGTGTAAATAATCCTCTAATGAAATTGAAAAGTCTAAAAGCGTGCACATAAAAGAGCAAGGATGTTCGGGCAGCGCTCGTGTCCGTGATTGAGCTGCCCTCTCTACCTTGGGCCACAATCGCTAAAGCCACATTCATTCGCTCAATGTACCATTGAATATAATTACATTTTCCTTCCTTTTAAAGCTTCACACTACAATCAAAGCAGAATTTCTTGTATTATAAATTGCTTGCTATTTATTTCCTCAGGTATGTCCCACTGGATCATACTTCAAATGTCAACAAGGCAAGTAGGCCGTCGTTTCGAACCTTGACTTACCCACTGATTTGTGAAATCCAAGACCCTCAACGCTCATGACCCAATTAGCAAAAAGCTCGAGGGGGAGGTGAAAAGACTGAATTGCTTCTAACAGGAAAATGGAACAGCGGAAAATACAGTTTGACACCTACAGGTAAGGAAAGGCTGTCGAACTCAACAAATACAGAGATTCGATGAACAGCGGGAGGGGTTAAAGGTCACCAGAATGAACCTGACGAATAACCTCTATTTGGCCGCCTAACGGTACACTAAATGCCATTTCGGAAATTCAACCGCCAAGAAATTGAGATGATTCCATCTCTACACCCAGAAGTCTTTCGTTCAAGCTTAATGTTGAGTAAATCCGGATTATTAGTCCAACTAACCATAACCTGTCCTACAACCTAAACACAATCGACTCCTGTTCCATCATTAAAACTCAAATTATTTAGAGGGAGCCGAGGTTAAAGGGCTGAGATGTAGGAAGTTAGGATTTAGCTTTGGATAATGGCTGGGATTGGTGAGCCAAATGACTAAAAGTTCAGTTGGTTCCTGTTTGGATGGGAAATGGGATAGGGATATTTGCAAGGGAGAGGTCACAAGAGTTCAGGGTAGGTTGTATCATTGTCCGAGAGTGAAAGCCAATCGTTTTGCCATTTTTTACTGAGGACACACAGTTCCAAATGTCTCCTGGGAGGCGTAGACCATGTACAGGAAGCCGTCCTCGTCTTTCTCGCGTTCGTAGACCTCAGAAATGGCGGTGGACACAGATACCATGCTGTGACCGTTGACAAGTAGGAAGAAAGCCTGATTGGAGTTGAGCTGGAGGCGTCTCCTTTTGGAAATGCACATGAACCAGAGATGCATTAGCGAAGTTTTTTAATCAGAAATAGTAATGATAAAGAGAAATTATAATGAAAGGCAAGAGGTAAAAGACATTTGTTTGGTGTTACCTGATGATCTTAATAAGTTCGCTCATGTTTACGTGGTCGGGAACTAAAAACTTAGTTTTGTCAAGAATTGGCAGTTGCTTTTCTCCTTTGTATCTCTCAATGATGACCTGAAACAAAACCAACAAGCTAAATATTAGCATATATGCATATTTATTTTAGTGTACATAGTATGTATGTGCTCTACTGTTTAGACATTTGGGGTCAGTAAGTTTTTAAAGACATCTCTTATGCTAACCCAGGTTGAATTGATTTGATCACAAATACAGTAAATTTAAAATAACAATTTTATATTATAACACATTTTAAAAAGTAATTTATTGTTTTGATAAAGCTGAATTTTCAGCATAATTACTCCAGTCCTCAGTGTGACATGATTCTTCAGAAATCATGATAATTTATATATTTGGGACTCAGTATAATAAATATATTTGTGGAAACAATGATAGACATTTATTCTAGAGTGTTTAAATAGAAAGTTCAAAAGAACAGCATTTATTTGAAACATAAATCTTTTTTAATAAATGTGTTTTCTGTCATTTTTAAATAATAATTAAAAAATACTAAAAAAATAAAAAAAATTAAATTTCCCCCAAATTTGTAAACAATGTTGTTTACAGTATGTATTTTTTAATGACAGTATTTAAAAAAAAATTATATTTACTATATTTTTCTTCCACCACTTTGTGGTCCAACGCATCAATCTAAAAACATTTAATTTAAGTTTTAGAGTAATTTAAAACGAAATAATTCAGTCTTAAATCAAGTCTGTCCAAACGTTCCCACTCAAAGAAGTTGCTCTGGGTGGTGGTTTGTGTCTATTCAGCAGATGGTAAGTTGACCACTTTATCCTGGTTAGCTTGAATAACAATTGAGACTGGTAACCCTGAGGCATTATCAATAGAGGTGACACCTGGCTACAATACCACTGACTGGTCTTTAAGAGGCTGATAAAGGCCCTATACATACATGCAAACGCAGCCATTCATATGCTATCTGTTTTACTAGGTCTATTGACAAGCTTCCTTTTGAGATTATCCATAAGATTAACCTATTATGCTCAATACACACAGCTGAGCATGTTTTAAACACTTGATCTGAAGGCCATCTGATTTTGTTCAAGTAATTCAACAAAAAAAATGGAAATTCTATCATTTAACTTACGCTCATGTTGCTCCAAACTTAATTTTTTTCTGTGGAACACAGAACATATTTTAACAAATGTTTCAGCGTTTTTTCATCAATACAACAAAGGTCACTGGGGGCCAAGTTGTTTTGGACCCCATTAACGATCATTGTTTGAACTAAAATAGTTGAGACATTTGAGAAAATATCCGTTTTAATTTGATCCACAGAAGTCACACAAGTCATAGAGGTTTGAAACAACATGAGGGCGAAAATGACAATTTCATTTTAGAGTGAGTGAACTATCCTTTAGTGTTTAGTGATGATGAATGGATCAAATGCAAATATGCAATACTATGTAACATCCTCAAATAGGGCAAATATAACCATATTCTAATGATAATATTTTATTATAAAGGTCTATACTGGTAAAAACGTTACAACACTTGCATACTAAGTGTGCGAGCGATTTTAATTGGTTATCAATTTTAATCTTCATCTTCAGCTCCACAGACACAAATATAATCTGCTTACTGGGATCTTGCTTGGATGCTGTTCCCGGATCAGCCGTACATCGTCCACCCGCTGCTCTGTGGAGAGGAAGTAGGAGCGGATATTAGATACAGCAGATCACAGTACAGGATGCATTAAACCACAGACATTTTACTGAGCTGGATATGGGTTTGGGTATCAATCAAGGACCAAGTTTAATTGTGTTTAACAGGTCCACGTTAAACGTGCTAGTCCTATCCTGTGGTTCAGTTTCAACCGAACAAGAAAGGGCTTCGAAACTAAGAAGGTTCTGTTCCAAATGAAACTGAATATGTTTAAGGGTGCATAAATAATGACTAAATATTAATTTTCGGTCAACTGTCGCTTTAAGAAAACACTCAACAATGGCTCCAGTGTTTGTCTGTTCTTCCCAGTTAAATTGCTTGGAATATTAGTTTATTTCTTTGTTGTGTAAGCATTTGTTCCACATCATTTTCTCTTAACGATTTAATGAACAGAAATGAAAAAGAAGCAAGGCAGGCCTTTGTGTACCGAGCTAACTAGACTTTGAACAAAAGACATGACATGACAGTATCTACAGAATACCATAAAACAATAAAACGACAAGTGTAGAAAACACAGCACTGCATTGATATTGTAGGACAAACTACGTTTCCAAAGAATTAGAGACACAAAGGAACAAGATAAAACTTCAGTCTGGGGAACACGAGGTCGTGTGATGATTCATGAACTTGACTTGAGCACGTGCTGCTGATGTATGAAACGTGCAATTATTGAGCAACTGTGGTAACCTTTGGTGTCTGACAACTAAACCTCAGCGAAATGTGTTCTTTAGTTTCGTTTTGAGCACCTGGTTCATCCTTTCTTAAAGCTTTATGATAAAAGCCTTCACGGCACCTATATGGAACTACATATGATCAAAACAACAAAGTCATACCTACATATAATTACCATTTACACTTCTCATGTAAAAATGATATTCATTAAAACTCTGTTTGTTCATAAAACGTGTTCGGTCGACTCCAGAACCAGTTCGGTTGTTTAGTTTGGTTTTTCTTTATTAAAAAAAAGATTCTACTTTAGAAAGACGTCGCTACTAACATTAGCTTGTTTGGGCTGACTGTCACAACAACATTGGCTGAAGATGAATTAGGTAATTTACGGGCTGATATCTCATTTGTTTTATAACTAGTCACATAAAGACACACGGGCCTTCATATAAAAACTCCAATAGGCTATATTCTCTTACAGCATCGATCAAATAAGTACGTTATGAATACAAACAAAGGCCAAAATGCTGTCTGGCTAAGTCTCTCACTATGTTATCAGCTATTTTTCCACTTCAGTCCCAAAAAGGGATGGAAAACAAGAGTGGTAACGGTTATGAGAAGGATAACTCAGCGCCGATACTTCGCCTTAACACAGGCCTATAACTGAACGCAATGATCACTGCAACAGAAATACTATTTTGTTTTATTTTTTCAGAAAATGTCGATGTTATCTGAATAGTCGCTATTGAAATATTACGAATATTCATTCGGCATCATTGTTTGTTTACTCGAGTCCTTCCAAATAACCTTAAACGACGAGTCCCATCCCCCAATCCTGCAGCGCGGTGTTTCGCTAACATCTGCCCACAAACAATCAAAGACAACGCAACATAGATTCTGGGGTTGACATGTTGATACGGTTATGAGAAGGATAACTCAGCGCCGATACTTCGCCTTAACACAGGCCTATAACTGAACGCAATGATCACTGCAACAGAAATACTATTTTGTTTTATTTTTTCAGAAAATGTCGATGTTATCTGAATAGTCGCTATTGAAATATTACGAATATTCATTCGGCATCATTGTTTGTTTACTCGAGTCCTTCCAAATAACCTTAAACGACGAGTCCCATCCCCCAATCCTGCAGCGCGTGTTTCGCTAACATCTGCCCACAAACAATCAAAGACAACGCAACATAGATTCTGGGGTTGACATGTTGAAAATAAGGTAAGAGAAACTCGTTATGTTGTTTATGTTATGGTCATGAGTCTGTAGCCTGTATGTATATATAGTCTGAACTACACGGCCGACACCCTTATAACCCAGTTTGACTAGATTGTTTGTAGAGTAACAACAGGACCTATTTTTCTATATCGCATAAATTTCGTGTCGTAATATAATACGATGCGTGTATTACATTAATACACACTTCACTACAATATTCAGGTATTTGAGGTAACTTAGCTGTATATACCATTACAAATATAAACGACAATCACAAACTTTCCCAGAATATAGGCTTACGTAAACGTGCCATTCCAAATGTAAAATGAATACATATATCAGAAATACAGTAGAAAAGCGATTCTCTGATGATATGAACTCGATACACTTACCAAATGTCCTCCTTTGTTTAAATGTCTTTTCCGAAGGCATGTTTAAAATGCGATTAGACACCGTTTTCTTTAGGCAAACGTGCCTACTTTCTTTCCTTTTCTGTCTCTGAACAGATCTTAATCGGTTATGTTTTAAATAAAGCGAAATCCTATATTTCAGTTGCGTGTCGTTGCTTCGTCCTGTGAAGTCCGGCTTACCAGCAAAACAAACCAGTCAGCTGACCTCTGACGTCATGGCGCATATGCCGTGTGCGTGCAGGAAAAGGGGAAGAGTTTGAGGTTAGTCACTATAATGAGGCATATTTTTAGGGTAGGTTTTGTCTGTGGCAGTTGTCATTTATTCTGTATGCTTACTCTATTCATACTTGTTTCAGTTCAACTGAGTTATCGGCTTCTGAAAGACTTCAACCATTTCCAAGCATGTGTCACACTTTTTACTGCAGTGAATGTTTACAGTCAGTCAACACATGTTGACAATATATGAGGTTAGTTTAATGCAGTGGTCATTTAACAGGCTTTGCAGACAGTATTTAAACATCAAAACAGTTATGATTTAGCAGATTTTGTTTAGATTTTGTGGTTTACTCAAGCTAGTGTACATTAATGCTTGCCAGATGACTCAGCCTTAAATCCTTCAATTATACTGTTGTTAAGACTGAGTCATAAATAATTTAAAGAAACAGTATTCACAAAACATTTTATCTTACCACTAAGAGTTCTCCTTAATAGCAGTAAAAGTTTTTAGCTAAGAGTTTTCTCTTAAAACCTATTCACAAAGCTGCTGAGACAAACTTTTAGTAAGGAATAGAGAGAAGTCTTAAAGGGGTCATAGGATGCCCATTTTCCACAAGTTGATATGATTCTTTAGGGTTTTAATGAAAAGTCTAACATAGTTGGTTAAAATTTGTCAATGGTAGTGTAAAAAAACTCCACCTGAACTTTTACCCTGTCAAAAACAGCTCTTTTCAGATTAAGACGTTTTTGTAGCATTTTCCTTTAAATGTTAATGAGCTCTGCTGACCCCACCCCTCTCTTCCGAGCCCTGAGGGACTGTTTACGTTAGCCTCATTAATCGTGAAACTTGCTAATTAGCACATTATTAGGAAAGGCGATTTGCAAAGATTCATTACAAAATATTATACTCACTTCTTCTGTAGATGAGGCTGAATCACGAATGAGTCGCGCGAACATAGATGCATTTATGTAGATCGGGGGCGCATTCCCTTCAGAAACAATGTAATCCACTGCAAGTTCAGCGGCTCAGATGTCGGGAGTAAATAACGACTGCTGTTCATTATTACACCTCAATCGCTTAGGAGTCATTCTTGTCTACATCTGCTCCGGCGGTGAAACAATGGCGGACTGATGACAGCCACTCAGGGCGAGTCTAAGTTAAGACACCAGTCCAGTCTGTGCTGAAACACTACTGTCAATCAAACTATCGTGGGAGGGGTCTGTTTTGTGACGTCACACAGACAGGCATCTGCTTCTCAAAAACAATTAGCGGATATGCATATAAACAGCCTTTTAATTAACAGAGTAGAATAATCATGGCCGATAGTGAGACATGCAGACGTAAAAGAAAACCAAACTGGACTCAAGAACAGCTCTTATTTCTTGCCCAGCTGGTTAATGAAAACAAGGATATAATCAAAGGAAAATTTGGAGTTGGGATAACCTCCAAAACCAAAGGTGATACCTTTATAAAAGCTCATTATCGTCAAACGTTTCTAAAATGTTTACGTTCCGAGGCAGATTGCCAGCAACGACATTTTAGGATAGTTTGTGGCTTGGTCTTAGTGATTAGGAGTCCTCTTCACTACTCCTAACGTTTCACAGATTTAGGAGCTAGCGCTAAAACGCTTTGTGAAATAATCTTAGAGCATAAATTTAGGACTGACACGCCCATAACTATCGTGGGAGGGGTCTGTTTTGTGACGTCACACAGACAGGCATCTGAGATCGGCTCGATTTGAGAAAGGGAAAAACATTTAACCAGATTAAAAAAAAAACAGGGTGAATTTTTTATCATTATAGGGTGGTTGTGTACACACACTGCCAACACACATTTCAGTTCAAACTACTTGTAAAAGTGCATGTAGCATCCTATGACCCCTTTAAGCTAAGAGTAAGGGCGGGGTTGACCTCGTTGCTATGGATGATGTCAGCATGCTTACTAACTATGCACACAGTGATTGGCTGATAGGGGAGGGGTCTCTGTCAGATTTATTCATAGAAATATTGTAGAGCACGATGTTGTGTTGCCACATTCAAATAAAGATTTTAAAAAGCAGGCTAAGTGTCACTAATTAAACAAGTATATGTTCAGCTAACTATCAGCCTCTTACATGTATGCTTCTCAAAAACAATTAGCGGATATGCATATAAACAGCCTTTTAATTAACAGAGTAGAATAATCATGGCGGATAGTAAGACATTCAGACGTAAAAGAAAACCAAACTGGACTCAAGAACAGCTCTTATTTCTTGCCCAGCTGGTTAATGAAAACAAGGATATAATCAAAGGAAAATTTGTCGAACCTTTATAAAGGTGTGATACCTTTATAAAAACTCATTATCATCAAACGTTTCTAAAATGTTTACGTTCCGAGGCAGATTGCCAGCAACAGACATTTTAGGATAGTTTGTGGCTTGGTCTTAGTGATTAGGAGTCCTCTTCACTACTCCTAACGTTTCACAGATTTAGGAGCTAGCGCTAAAACGCTTTGTGAAATAATCTTAGAGCATAAATTTAGGACTGACACGCCCATTATTTTTAAGATTTTCTCCTAAATCTGCAAGTTATGAGCTACTTTTAGCCCTAAGATATTTTGTGAATACAGGCCCGGCCCAGATTTGTATGGAATCTTGTTTCTGACACAGGATACATTTTTTTAGAGTTTATATCTCAAAATTCTGTCTTTTTTTCACACAATTCTGAGTAGAATAATTGCAAGATGCAATTCTGAGAAGAAAAGTCAGAATTACAAGATGTAACTTAAAATTGCAAGGAAAAATATTCAGAATTAGTCAAATTAAAAGTAACAGTTACCTCTTTTATTTATTTTTTTATTCCGTGGCAGAAACAATGAAACTGATTTGCTCAGAATTCAGAAAAAAAGTCAGAAATTGCAAGATAAAATATCTCACAATTGACTTTTTTCTTAGAAATACAAGTTTTTATCTTGCAATTCTGACTTTTTTTCTCAATCCTGAGGTTACATCTCACAATCAGAATTACAAGATGTAACTTAAAATTGCAAGGAAAAATATTCAGAATTAGTCAGATTAAAAGTAACAGTTACCTCTTTTATTTATCTTTTTATTCCGTGGCAGAAACAATGAAACTGATTTGCTCAGAATTCAGAAAAAAAAGTCAGAAATTGCAAGATAAAATATCTCACAATTGACTTTTTTTCTTAGAAATACAAGTTTATATCTTGCAATTCTGACTTTTTTCTCAATCCTGAGGTTACATCTCACAAGTTTGTTTTCTCATAATTGTGAGGGGAAAGTTAGAATTATAATATTAAATCTCACAATTATGTTTTTTATTTTTTTTTATCCTGTGGTAGAAATGGGCTTCCATAGAATTGTGACTGTTTGTGTTTGTGTGTGTGTGTGTGGCAGGCAGCTACGTCACTAACTGATGTTTCAGAAATGTTTCAGAATAGATAAGCTTATAATGCCATGGAGGTAAATGCTATGTTTTGTTGGTACTGTAAACATTGCAAAACAGCAATACAGTAACAATATTTAAAACAACCTTGACCTAGCCACTATCGATGTTAACTTATGATAGAAATGTGTCATTTTGAAAGCAGTGGTCTGATGCTGAAAAACAAATGGAGTTGCAATTCTGACTTTTTTTCTCAATCCTGAGGTTACATCTCACAATTTTGTTTTCTCATAATTGTGAGGGGAAAGTTAGAATTATAATATTAAATCTCACAATTATGTTTTTTATTTTTTTTTATCCTGTGGTAGAAATGGGCTTCCATAGAATTGTGACTGTTTGTGTTTGTGTGTGTGTGTGTGGCAGGCAGCTACGTCACTAACTGATGTTTCAGAAATGTTTCAGAATAGATAAGCTTATAATGCCATGGAGATAAATGCTATGTTTTGTTGGTACTGTAAACATTGCAAAACAGCAATACAGTAACAATATTTAAAACAACATTGACCTAGCCACTATCGATGTTAACTTATGATAGAAATGTGTCATTTTGAAAGCAGTGGTCTGATGCTGAAAAACAAATGGAGCCAAATAGTACAATTATTCTTACTTTTGTTTTATTTGTAGTATTATTTGTAGAGATGTTGTAGTACAAACATAAATGGGACCCATGTGATAAAAATTAACCACAGATACAGTATGTGATAAAGGTACTCAGTTGTTTATTCCCTTCCAGCATATTACTAGGCTTGACAAGGTCTGTTTTGCCAGGCCCTGGTATATTTAGTGACTCACTGACTATCAAGGAGCATGCAAGTGAAAGTGAAAACAATATTGACAATTCAGCATTGTTAGCCACTAGGCGTCCATGAGCCATGCTGCAAAATGATTCATTTTATTAAAGTTAACCTCTTGAATACTGAGTGGATCGTTAGA